ACCTTTCTAAAACAGGAGTTGGCAAACTTCTTCTGTAAAGGGCCAGATAGTAAATGTTTTAAGCTCTGTAGGCCATACAGTTCTGTCACAACTACTACAACTCTGCCATTGTAACAGGAAAGCAGCCACAGACTTTATGGAAATGAATAACCACAGCTAAGTTTCAATAAAACTTTGTTGACAAAAACAAGTGAATTTGGCCTGTGAGTTATAATTTACCAACCCCTGATCTAGAGGCATTATCACACTTCATGAAGGACTTCGTTCCTGCCCCAGTAAGGAACCCGGTGAGGCTAGACACAGACGCCTTATTCTCACCCCTAAAGGGCTTGCAAACTCTGCTGGGAAATGTCTCACTATTTAGGCTCCATCTCATAATTCAAGCTTGTAGTTCTTGAGTCTTTTGATTTTAAATCAGAAAATGTTAAGGAGTCTCTATCTCTGTGGGTGTTTGGGTAGTTGACTGGATTCTATATTTTGTTTTTTAGAGTTTTTTCTTTAATAATGTGTATGAATATTGAGCTTACAGCTTATTAACAATTCTATATGTATTTGCTTTAGATCCTTTTCAATCAAGATTAAAGTGTAAGTAATATTTGTGGAAATAGGAAATTGAATAGGGAGTACATTGTCCATCTTAACTTTCTGGCATGGCTCTCTCTCTTTACTGCTGCTTGTGCCTGCTTCTCATGTACTTCGTCATCCAGTGTCCTGGGGCGTCTACCCTTATGCTTCAGGCGTTTTTGCCATTCTCTTGAGCAGTGAGTAGCATGAATTCGTGTTTGCAGCGATCAGAGAAAAGATAAGTAGTTATCCACATAGTCCTTTTTAGATGCCAAACTGGCACGATTTGTGTCACCAGAAAAATTTTCAGAGGTACAGGATATAGTAGTACAGACTAGTACCAAGTTAGCTAAAGGTCAGTGCTCTTAGGCAAGTGACAAAGGTTATTTCAAGAGTATAATGCTACAAGTAGGAAGTGAATTCAGAGTCAGGAACCTAAGAGGTTTCTAACAGATTGGAGCATAGAAAATGAGAGTGATTGAGATAAATGGTTTAGAATAGGGGTCCCTAACCACCAGACCATGGACTAGTATTTCGTCTATGTTTACAGTCACTCCCCATTGCTCACATCACTCCCTGAGCTCCGCCTCCTGTTAGATCAACAGCGGCATTAGATTCTCACAGGAGCGCTAACCCTATTGTGAACTTCGCATATGAGGGATCTAGGTTGTGTGTTCCTTTTGAGAATCAAATGCTTGATGACCTGTCACTGTCTCCTGTCACCCCCAGATGGAACTGTCTAGTTGCAGGAAAACAAGCTCAGGGCTCCCACTGATTCTACATTATGACGAGTTGTATAATTATTTCATTATGTATTACAATGTAATAATAATAGAAATAAAGTGTACAATAAATGTAATGTGTGTGAATCATCCCAAAACCATGCCCCTGGTTTGTGGAAAAATTGTCTTCCATGAAACCGGTCCCTGGTGCCAAAAAGTTGCGGACCACTGGTTTAGAATGGAGGCTGTCAGCAAGGAAGGGGCCTCATCCACTTATGCAGTGCCTCCTTCAGACTTAGACTGAGTGCCTATTATGAGTCAGGTATAGTCCTATATCTCAGGAATACAGTAAGGCATAAAATAGGGTCCTGACTGCATCTAAACCATGGAACATAGAAAATGACTGCTTGCTCAGTTCTCCCAATGATGGTACTTAAGTAGCGCCATTCCAGATGGAAAGTAGAGCCATAATTTATTATTTATTTATTTTTTTGAGACAGTCTCACTCTGTCACCCAGGCTGGAGTGCAGTGGCGCGATCTCAGCTCACTGCAACTTCCGCCTCCTGGCTTCAAGCGATTCTCCTGCCTCAGCCTCCTGAGTAGCTGGGATTATAGGCATGTGCCACCACACCCGACTAATTTTTGTATTTTTTTTTGTTGTTGTTGTTGTTAGTAGAGACAGGGTTTCACCATGCTGTTCAGGCTGGTCTTGACTCCTGACCTCGTGATCCACCTGCCTTGGCCTCTCAAGGTGCTGAGATTACAGATGTGAGCCACTGCGCCCGGCCATGTAGTTGTTATTTATTACATGTAGTGGATGCCTTGGTGTATGGGGGCTTAACTCTCCTGGGAACTCGGGTTGAGAAAATCAGTCTAGTGGAGCAATAATAGAGTGGTAAGTGCAGTGATAGAGAAAAAGTCCTGGGTGTCATGGGAGTGTGCAATAGGGATACCCAGCTAGCTTACAGAGGGCCAGGGAATGCTTTCTGGAAAGGAATTTTGGGAAGAAATGAAGTCTGAATGGAAAACTGTAAACCATGTGGAGAATAGAGAAGGCTTGATGGAAAAGAGAGACTAACCTTCTCTAAGTCCAAAAAGTTTTAAAAATATAGCTAGAGGGGAGATTTTGAGAAGATTGGTGACCAGAGATAAGGTCTTATCAGCTTCTTACTGGGCACTGACAAAGCCAGATCGCAGACAGTCAGACCCAGTGTCTTACTGGTCTCAGTTTTGTGCTGCTGTAACAAAATACCTGAAACTGGGTGATTTATAAAGAATAGACATTTATTTTCTCATAGTTCTGGAGACTGGAAAGTCAAAGATGAAGGCACTGGCAGGTTCAACTGCCTGGTGAAGGCAGCATCCTCCAGAGGGAAGGAAGGCTGTGTCCTCACATGGCAGAAAGCGGAACAGCAAGTGGGCCTACCACTCTGTGAAGCCTCTTTTATAAGGGCCTAACTCCCATTCATAAGGGAGGAGCCCTCATGATATCATCACCTTTTAAAGGCCTCATCGCTCTGTTGCCCAGGCTGGAGTACAGTGGTGCGATTTTGGCTCACTGCAACCTCCACTTCCTGGGTTCAAGCAATTCTCCTGCCTCAGCCTCCCGAGTAGCTGGGATTAGAAGCGCCCACCACCATGGCCAGCTAATTTTTGGAATTTTTTTTTTTTTTTTTTTTTTTTGAGACGGAGTCTCGCTTTGTCACCCAGGCTGCAGTGCAGTGGCGTGATCTCGGCTCACTGCAAGCTCCGCCTCCCGGGTTCACGCCATTCTCCTGCCTCAGCCTCCGAGTAGCTGGGACTACAGGCACGCACCACCATGCCCGGCTAATTTTTTGTATTTTTAGTAGAGACGGAGTTTCACCGTGTTAGCCAGGATGATCTCGATCTCCTGGCCTCGTGATCCGCCCGCCTCGGCCTCCCAAAGTGCTGGGATTACAGGCGTGAGCCACTGCGCCCGGCCTATTTTTGTATTTTTAGTAGAGACGGGGTTTTGCCATTTTGACCAGGCTGATCTCAAACTCCTGACTTCAGGTAATCCGCCTGCCTCGGCCTCCCAAAGTGCTGGGATTACAGGCGTGAGCCACCGCGCATGGCCATTCACTTCTTAATACTATAACATTGGCGACACCTGAATTTTGGAGGGGACACATTCAAATCATGTTACTCAGTCTCACTGGATGAATGCTATCTAAGATGAGCTGGATACTGTCACGGCACTTGGTGCATGGTCATTTCTTTTCCTTGAAATTATGATGCGCTATCTTTAGTCTAAAAGCACTGCAGTCTCAGGTCCTTTGGGATAAGATATGGTGTCTTTTGAAAGTGAGGAGGTTGAGCCTGGATATATTGGCTTTGGGCTTTCTGCCTGTCCTCTCTAATACATACTTGGTGTTGGGCGTGGTTTTCCTTTTGGGGTAATTTGGATTATTGCCACTGAAAGTGTGGTCCATGTACTAACAGCATGGAAGAATCTCAGGCCCAAGACCCACTGAATGAGAATCTGCATTTTAACGAGATCCCCAAGTGATTTGTATGAGCATTACATTTTGAGAAGCACTGATGTGAATGAGTAGGTCTTTTTTGCTCTTATGATAAAAATTAGTTTGTCACTATAGAGAAAGGAGAACTTGTATATGACATTATTATAGCTGGTCCTGGAGGAGAGTCCTGGGTGCAGTGTAACTTGTTGGGGCTTCAGAGGTTTCAAGTAATGATAACGATTTCCTTGTTTTAGACTCGAGATCCCTCACTCTAACCCTTCACCCCCTTCTCTAGTTAGCTCTAGCAGTTGAAGGATATATTGTTCTTGTAGTTGGAAAAACCCACTGATTAGTTTATTGAAAAGAGATAGATTTTAGAATATCTTGAGTTATTTTTATCCCACTAAGTGTTCTGTAACCTACCTCCTTCCTATTTTGGGGAGATCATTTTATTTATTATTATTATTTTTAAGATGGGGTCTTGCTGTGTTGCCCAGGCTGGTCTCGAACCCCTAGATTCAAGCCGTCCTCCTGCCTCGGCTTCCCAAAATGCTAGGATTACAGGCATGAGCCACCATGCTCAGCCTTGGAGTTCATCTTAATATTAAGTTCAGACAATCATGTCATTTCTGTCTTACTGGACTCCAGCTTCACTCTTTTTTTTCCAGAAGGGGATTACCTGTTACATTATGTTTAATACATGTTTGTCACAAACTTTCTATTTGAGACCCACTTTTAGTAGCTTTCAGCATAGTTTGAAGTCTTTTTGACAAGTACATTTACAGATTATGGCAGTTATTTCAATATACAGAATTTTTGTATCTTGAAACACTTGGAAGTGTAAAGCACCTCCTCATAACTTGAGTATTACTATTTTTCCATTTGGCCTGTGCTACTGCAAAATGATATGCTAGTGCATCAAGTGGGATTAGAAAGAAAAAGAAGATAGCTGCTCTTTCTATAGTTGATAGTGTAAAGAACTAGAAGAGGAAAATGTAAAGAAAAACAGTCTGAAACTTTAAATGACTATATTTGAGGTTTATCAAAAAGATAAACTGTTTTTTAATAAATGAGGCACCTGCATTATCAAAATGATTTATTATTTGTAATTGGAATTATCTTTTCATCCAGACTTTGGTAAGAGGTGGTTAGATTATGCCAAAAAATGATTAACATTTTAAAAAATTGAAATAAAATTCATATAACATAAAATTCACCATTTTAATAATTTTAAAGTATACAGTTTTGTGGTTTTAGTATATTTACAATGTTGTGCAACCCTCACCACCATCTAATTCCAGAACATTATTCACCCCCAAAAGAATCCCTGTGCCCATTAAGCAGTAGTCACTCTCTGTTCGCCTTCTTCCTAGATGCTGGTAACCACTACTCTGTTTTCTGTCTCTATGGATTTTCTTATTCTAGACATTTCATATAAATAGAATTGTACAATATCTGTCGTTTTGTGTTTGTGTTCCTTCACTTAGCATAATGTTTTCAGGGTTCTTCCATGTTGTAGCATATATCAGTACTTCATTTCTTTTTGTGGCAGAATAACATTCCATGTGTGGACATGCCACGTTTTGTTATCCTTTCATCAGTTGATGAACATTTGGGTTGTTTCCACTTTCTGGCTATTATGCTGTTGCGAACATTCATGCACAAGGTTTTATATAAGCACATGTTTTCACTTCTTTTGAGTATTTGCGTAGGAGTGGAGTTACTGGGTCACGTGGTGACTCCATGTTTAACAAAAATGATTTTTAAAATAAAGATGACTGAAAGATACTGTCCCCAAACTTTTCTGACCCCAAAGAAATTAGTCTTATGAATATATAAACAAGTTAAGCCCTAAAATTACTTCTTTTCTCTGGCATTTTGTCTACTATATGAGTTGCAGTTGTGTTGCTCCTGTTTCTTTTCACACGCAAGTCACCATTTTGGACATTTCAGAATGGAACCCTTCTATCTCCTAGATTGTGAATTTGATGGTCCTTTGCTGTATTATTTTATGAGTTACTTCTGGAGCATCAACAGTTCTCTCTTAAAAAAAAATCTTGTGGGCACTTAATAAGAGTTGTATATGCCCAAAATGTGTTTGCTCCTGTTGTTGAAGGAGGTTGTTTATTATCGTTGTTGTTATAGTGTGTTATTGAATATAGTTTAGGAACTCAAGTAGCTTAGTTACCTAATATAAATACTATTGGCCGGGGCGGCCCGGGGCTGCGCGGGGGCGGGCTGCCTCCTCCCTGGGCCTGCCTGGGCAACCGCCTCCGCGATGCCGCTGCTTGTCGAGGGGAGGCGAGTGCGGCTGTCGCAGTACTCGCCCACGCTGCTGCGTCCGAGCCCACTCTCCTTTGGAGGAAAGAGCCAGACTTCTCAGAGGTCAGTCTGTTCAAGAAGTGGGACCCCAGGGCCTTCTGTGTGTTCAGCGAAGAGAGCTTGCAGTGACCTCCCCGAAGAATGGCTCCATCTCCATTCTGGGTTCTGATGATGCCACTACTTGTCACATTGTGGTCCTGAGGCAAACAGGTAATGGGGCCACCTGCTTGACACATTGTGACGGAACCGACACCAAAGCTGAATTCCCCTTGATCATGAACTCCATAAAATCCTTTTCCGACCACGTTCAATGTGGAAGGCTGAAAGTGCACCTCGTTGGAGGCTTCAGAGACGACAGGCAGTTGTCACAAAAACTCACTCATCAACTTCTTAGTGAATTTGACAGGCAAGAAGATGACATTCACTTAGTGACATTATGTGTGACAATTAAATGACCGGGAAGAAAACGAAAACCACTTTCCAATAATATATGGCATTGCTGTCAACATTAAGACTGCAGAGATTTACAGAGCCTCCTTTCAAGGTCCAGGTCCGGAGGAGCAGCTGCGTGCTGCGCGAACTTTAGCAGGAGGACCAATGATTAGCATTTACGATGCAGAGACAGAACAACTTCGCATAGGACCGTACTCCTGGACGCCATTTCCACATGTGGATTTCTGGTTGCAGCAAGATGACAAGCAAATACTAGAGAATCTTTCTACTTCGCCTCTGGCTGAGCCGCCCCACTTTGTTGAATTTATTAGATCTACCTTGATGTTTTTTTAAAAAAATACCCATCTCCAACTAACACACTGTTTCCTGGAAATAAAGCCCTACTCTAAAAAAAAAAAAAAGAATTACTAGGTCAAAAGATAAGAACTTATTCAAATGGATTCTGTGTGCTACCAGGTTGCTGTGATCTGAATGTATCCCCAGAATTCATATGTTAGAAACATCATCTCAAACGCACCAGCGTTGGCAGATGTGGAGTCTTTTGGGAGGTGTTTAGGTCATGAGGGTAGAGCCCTATTGAATGGATTATAAATAAAAGGGCTTGCAGAATTGGGTTTTCTTACTCTTGCCCTTCTGCCTTCCGACTTCTACCTTCTGTCCACATAATGACTCAGCAAGAAAGCCCTCACCAGGTGCTGATGCCTTAATCTTGGACTTCCCAGCCTCCAGAACTGGGGAGACAGTCTGGACACAGGGAAAACCTGAGACCAGGTTTTTATCCATTCTTTAATTAAATAATTAAAAGAGATAAACAAATTTGCTTTTATTTCTTTAACTTTTACTTTTTGGCTTTCCATTCATCCTGTGACCTTGTTGATATTTTAAATGTTGGTTTTATCATCTTCAGTATTGTCTGTTTCTCATATGTGTTATTTCTGTGTTTGGCACTTTGCTTTGGGCACAGTGCCACTTGTGTGTGCCTAAGGCTGGATTTGTGTCCTCATGGTATTAACTCTCAAGTCAGGGACATAGACATATTTCTGTAAGCATACACATCCTTGTTTTGTGCAGACTTTTCTTTCATGCTCATGTTTCTTTTCCTTTTGTTTGTAGCCAGACATTTTGGACCCAATGTCTATTTCTCACTAGTGATGTGGATTCTGCAGTTTGTTTTCTACCCCAGCTTTCTACCAAAGTTGTTCTTTTCATGGTTGTCACTGATTTCCTACCTGTTTTCATTGGTTGTTTTCTTAGTTTTCATTTTCCTTGAGCTTTCTACAGTGATTTAAGACCATTGATTTCCATTTTCTTTGTAATAACCTCTCATTAGTTCCATGGCCCAGTTCTGTTTCTTCTATTCAGTGTGTTTGTTTTTTTTATTGATTTCTCTCTTTTCTCCACTTAGTTGTAGACACTTCTTTTTTCTTTTTTTGAGATGGAGTCTCACTCTGTTGCCCAGGCTGTAGTACAATGGCATGATCTCGGCTCACTGCAACCTTTGCCTTCTGGGTTCAAGCAATTCTCCTGCCTCAGCCTCCTGAGTAGCTGGGATTACAGGTGCACCACCACGTCCAGCTAATCTTTTTTTTTCTTTTTCTTTTTTACTTTTTTTTTTTTTTAAGGAGAGATGGGGTTTTGCCACGTTGGCCAGGCTCTCAAAATCCTGACCTCAGGTTTTCCACCCACCTTGGCCTCCCAAAGTGTTGGGATTACAGGCATGAGTCACTGCGCCCAGCCAGTTGTAGACATTTCTTAAGCTTCTAGCCTATGTCCTCTTTTCTTTCTTTACATTCTTTTCCAGATAGGTCTTTATGTACTTTCCTAGTTTAAACTGACACTTCTATTTGGAGGATTTCCACCATCCATTTGTTTATTCGACATTTTTTGATTGGCAGCTTTGTACGTGGCACTGGCCTGGGTCCTGGAGATACAAAGATGAACACACTTTGACTACCCTCGATGAACTTGGAGACCATTGCAGAAATCAGATGTGTAGACAGAGAGCCACATTGCTGTGTGATACGTTTCTTAACCCTGATGTGAACACAGAGATGAAGGAAGTATATGGAGTGGGAGACAATGGCTCTAAGGAAACTTAAATTTCTTGTAAGAGTGACATTTGAATTGCAGTTGGAAAGGAGAGTTTGCAAAATGAAAACTAAGGGGAGAAGAGAATATTTTAGGAAAGGGAACTGTATGTTTAAAGGAAGAGAAGCATGCATGCCTCCCAAGTCTCAACTGGTGAGGGCAGAGGTTTTGTCTTATTTTATTTGTATTCATGGTATTAAGGTAACAACTGGCACCTTTCAAGTTAGATTGGGGTCTCCATTCTAGATCCTTTATTTACTGGCTCTGGGCTTTAGGGGCCTTACCTATAAATGGTGTAAGTTTTTGATAAGGGTGAATGAGCTGTAATCAACTAAAATAGTGTCTGACAAGTAGTAGGTGCTTTTAAAATGTGAGTTTTATTCTTTCATTTTCCTTCTCTATCTAGCCACCTGTTAACTGGCATACAGTAGGCAGGGAGTAGATACTTGTTGAACAATTTCAGTGTTTCCAAACACCAGAAAAAGATACAGGATTGCTTCTTGTGATGTAAACTTTTACGACTAGGAAGACCAAAAGCACAGGATGAATTCACTAAATTTAGTAATCTTACAAAGCAGAAACTTGTTTTCTTAAGAACTAGCTTTAACTGGAAGAGAAAACACAGCAATGAATCAAGTCAGGTCTGCTGGATGTTTGCACATGGGAGCTGGATAATTTTCCCCCCAAATATAAAAGATTGGATATGTTGTTTATAAATGTCTTCTATAATATTTCTTCATTAATGTTTATAGTTGATTTTGGGTTTGTTTTCATCTTAGTTTCTTTTTTTTTTGAGATGGAGTCTTTTTCCATCGCCCAGACTGGAGTGCAGTGGTGCGATCTTGGCTCACCACAACCTCCGTCTCCTGGTTCAAGCGATTCTCCTGCCTCAGCCTCCCAAGTAGCTGGGATTACAGGTGCCTGCCAGCATGCCTGGCTAATTTTTTGTATTTTTAGTAGAGACGGGGTTTTGCCATGTTGGTCAGGCTGGTCTCGAACTCCTGACCTCAGGTGATCCACCCGCCTCAGCCTCCCAAAGTTTTGGGATTACAGGCGTGAGCCATTGCACCCAGCCTCCATCTTAATTTCTTTTTGTTTACAGAGTTAAATAAGCTTGTTTGTAGATTTCAGTTGATCCAGGCTGGTCTGTTTTCTCCTTGGGGTCTCAAATACAGTAGTTTAACTATTTCTCAGTTAGTACCAGCTCAGACTAGAGTCTTTTAGGTTTTTATTACCAATGACATTCTTATTCCTTTGTATGACATAAAGGCCTTCCATGACCTGCCCTCTTCCTTCTTGGGCAACTGTATTTCCTTTAGCATACCTGTAATCTTGGGCACCGCATACAGAAGGTCTTTGAACGCACCATGCAGCTGCATGCTTACATTTTCTTTTTAGACACAGTTTCCTTTGCTTGCAGTTCTCTGCATGTGTCTCTTTCTCTTTCCCCTACTCATCTTTCTAGACTGGTTTCATAGGTTGTTGCCTCTAGGAAGCCTTTCCTTCTTATCTTTACAATTGTTATCCAATGCTGCCGTTTTTTTGAATTGAAAAATCTTTAGATGTTTTTCACATATTATAGGGCCCTTTATATTGTCTCTGTTCACATTCCAGTGGCTTTTGATGTTTTCTTCTGGGTGGTATTTGCATCACTTACTATGAATGACTCCCACTATGTGATGATGTTAGAAATGGCAAGTGCCATGTGTTGTTGAGTACCTGTTCTGTATTAGGCACTCTTCTAGGGCTTTGGTAACATTGCATATTGCAGACATAGATTTCTTTGTGAGATGGACTGAACTATAGTATTTCTTTTTCATTATTCAGGTGCTCATTTCTAAATAGACCAGAGCATATTGATTTAATTCATGAGGAGACAATGTTCGGCAACAGATAAAAAGTCAGTTCCTAAATCCAAAGAAAATGAGTAAATTCTTGAATTTGGGTTTTTGTTTATACAACATCCCAACTTCATCTTCAAGGTACTTCTGTTAAGGCTATACAGAATTTAGAAAATATGTTGGTGTCAGTTTTATTAGTATGTTAAAAGTAGTTTAAAAGTATACTTTTAAAAATAAAAGCAAGGAGGGTACTTACATGTCTAAAAGGAAACACTGTTTTTCTATACTACTCTCAATGCTTCTGACATAAACTGTGTGGATTTTCCACACCAACCAGTTCTCCTCAGACTCTAATTGGGTGTCCTACATTTTAACTCAGTCCTGACACTACGCAGAGTTAGCACAGACCCCACAGGTTAAGTGCTGATACCACAAGACTGCCCTCCACCCAGGTGCCAGTCACAGTCTGGGCTGCCTGTACTTCTGACTGGCTATTATTTGGGGATTCCCATAGCCCCCTCAGGTTCAGTAATTTGCTATAATGGTTTATAAAACTCAGGGAAACATTGACTTATGTTTACCAGTTTATTATAAAGGATATTGCAAGGAATACAAATGAATAGCCAGATGAAGAGGTACATAGTGCCTCTATGGAGGGGCATGGAGCTGCCACACCCTCTTGAAGTCCTCCACCCTACCAGCATCTCTCTGTGTTTACCAACCCTGAAGCTTTCTGAACTCATTTATGGTTTTTATGGAGGCCACATTACACAGGGGTGATAGATTAAGTCATTGGTCATTGAACTCAATCTCCAGCCCCTTGTCCCTTTCTGGAGGTCAGGGGGTTGGGCTGAAAGTTCCAGCCCTCTAATCACATGGTTCATTCTCTGGCAGCTGGCCCCATCCTCCAGGAGTCCCTCGTTAGCCTAATCTGAGGTATGTTCGAAAGGGACTTACTACCAATAACAAAAGATGCTCCTCTCACCCCATCACTAAGAAAATTCGTGCGGTTTTTAGGAGCTCTGTATTAGGAACTGGGGATGAAGAACAAATTTATATTTTTTAATTATTTCATAACATCACAGTATCAGTTAGTGTTTCTTTTCTTCTTCAATGATGCAACAATTCATTCAACAAATATTATTTTGGACATCTACTGTGTACCAGACAAGAGAACATATCATTGAATATAACACAGTGTGCTGTCCTCATGGAACATGCAGAAAGTTTATATTGTCTGTTAGGCTAGAATGGATCCATGGAGGCTTATTTTCAAAACCTATTCTGTCTTTATTTAAGAACCATAGAAGATTTAAGTAATACTTTAACATTTGGAAACTATTTTAACAAATGGAAAAGCCAGAAGTGATTTTTACTTTTTTCTGATTTGAAAGGAAAATTCTTTTCTTTTAGCAGAGACCTCTAAATTCATTAGGGAAACAACAACCAACCAGTCATAGTGTTATATGCTTAAAGTATGATTTTTGTCATAGAACCAGTAAGTTAAATGGCTTTCCTCAACTCATTCATTTTAGGCTTATTTGACACCTTTTGAGGTATGAAAACTCCAGTGTCAAATGGCTTTACCAGTGAATGCTTCCAAATGTTTAAAACAGGTAAATAACAAAATCTTACAAAACTATTCTGGAGAACAGAAAAATGTTTTATGAGGCCAGCATGCCCTTGATATCAAAACCTGACAAAGATAATACAATATAAGAAAATTGTAGGGAAAGCCCTCTTATAAACACAGATACAAATGCCCTAAATAAAGTAACAGAAAATTGAATCCATAGATATGTAGTAGGTATAATACATTATGACCAGGTAAGGTTTATTCCACTAATGTAAGATTGGAGGATTACTGTTCAAAACTCAAATAATGTAATTCATCACGTTACCAGAAGAAAGGAAAAATCTTATGGTTACTCTAGTTTCTGTAGAAAGTGTTTGATGAAATTAAAGATCCATTCGTGATAAGTACTAGTAATAGAAGAAGACTCTTTCATCTGATAAAGGCTCCTTACAAAAGCCTACAGTAAACATCATAGCTAGTGCTGAAACGGTGAAAGCTTTCCCCCTGATGATGGGAATGAAGCGAGGATGCTCACTATCATTACTTTTATTCCATGTTATATCATAGACTATAGTTAATGTAATAAAGCAAGAAAAAAGATAGGAGGATTGGGAAAGTAAGACAGTACTCATCATTTTCAGACTAGTTGATTTTATACATGGAGAATTAAAAGGGCTGCTACATACAAAGTCAGCCTACAAAAATTATTTGTATTTCTGTGTATCAGCAACAAAGAAAAAATGTTACCCTTTTTGTTAGCGTGTAAAAAAGAGTTTTCAAGACCTCAACATTGAAAACGACCCATTGTTTTTATCAAAAGATGCTAAAGATGCTCTAACTAAATGGTCATGGACTATAAAATTTATTATGGTAAAAATATTAATTCTTCCCAAATTGATCACTGCATTTAACAGAGTCCAAGCCAGCA